TGCTGAACTCCGAGTATTTCAGCGAGGGAAAGCGGCGGGAGATATTTAACCACTACCGGCTGCGGAAGCTCACCCTGGAGCAGATCAGACTCATGTTGGAGGAAGAGATGAAAAAATGGGCCCCCATCAAATTCCCAGCCATGAGAGGCAGCGTCACAGCCTACCACCTGCTAGAAACCGGCATTATAGACAAGGCCCTCTTCCAGAGGGTGCTGGAAGGGGCCGTGAGCCCGGAGGACGTCCTGCGCATGGACTCTGTCCGGAAATACCTCTATGGCTCCGGCAGCATTGGGGGGATCGTGCTCCAGCCGTCAAACCAGAGAATGAGCATCTATGAAGCCCTGAAGCAGAAGATCGTGGGGCCAGGGGTAGCTCTCCCACTGCTCGAGGCCCAGGCCGCTACTGGCTTTGTCATCGACCCCGTGACCAACCAAAAGCTGTGTGTGGACGAAGCCGTAAGGGGAGGGGTTATCGGGCCAGAGCTCCATGAGAAACTGCAGCATGCAGAAGGCGCAGTCACGGGCTACAAAGACCCTTTCACGGGGGAGAAGATTTCCCTCTTCCAAGCCATGAAGAAGGGCCTCATCGCAGACAAACGGGCAATTCCACTCATGGAAGCTCAAATGGCCACTGGAGGCATCATTGACCCGCACCACGGCCACCATGTGCCTGTGGAGTTTGCCCGGAAACAAGGCTACTGGGGTGAGGACATGAGCAAAACCCTGTCTGGCGCTGACAGTGCCAGGGCTTACTGCATCCCTGGCAGCAAGGAGCCAGTGACCTACGCTCAGCTCATGGCGCGTTGCCAGCAGGATGAAAATTCCGGCTTCCGCTTGCTGCCCTTGCCCCAGACGGCTGTGCCCGTGCGCACAGAGGAGCAAATCCAGCAGCTGCTCAAGGAGACCATGGTGAAGGAGAAGGACGTCTCCCTCTGGGAGCTGATCCACTCTGGCTACTTCACTGAGGAGCAGAGAAAGGACGTGGTGGAGAAGTTCCGCTCTGAGGAGGCGTCTGTCGGGCAGCTGGTTGCTCTTGTCCTGCAGCACGTGAAGGAGATGGAGATGAAAGCCCACGCACACATCGCCTTCCAAGGCCTGCGGGGCAGCGTGCCTGCTGTCTGGCTGCTCGATGCTGGCATCATTGCGGAGAAGACCTTCGCAGAGCTGGCCGAGGGAACGCGAGCGGCCAGAGACGTGGCGGAGATGGAGGGCGTGAAGCGATACTTGCAGGGCACAGGGAGCATTGCTGGAGTTCTCGTACAGGCCTCCAAGAAGAAGATGAGCATTTACCAGGCAATACAAAACAATCTCCTGCTGCCTGGCACAGGGCTACTGCTGCTAGCGGCTCAGGCAGCCACCGGAGGCATAATAGACCCAGTGACAAACCAGACACTTGGTGTGGAAGATGCCGTCAAAGCGGCCATTGTCGGAGAGGAGTTCCTGGAGCAGCTGCTCCTAGCAGAGAGGGCAGTGACGGGTTACACAGACCCCTACACTGGGAGCCCCATCTCAGTCTGCCAAGCCGTCAGGAAAGGCCTCGTCCCCATGAGCGATGGCATTCCCTTGCTCGAGGCCCAGCTGGCCACAGGAGGGATCATCGACCCCATCCACCATCACCATCTTCCTCTGCCTGCTGCCTACATGCACAACTTCTACGACGAGGAAATGAACCAGGCCCTGGCCCAGCTCAATGACGACACCAAAGTCTTCTTTGATCCCAACACGAAGGAAAACTTGACTTACCAAGAGCTGAAAGACAGGTGTCTTCCTGACGTGGAGACTGGCCTCTGGCTTCTCCCTCTGTCCGAAGCAACGGCGTTCTATGTGGACCAACAGACCATGGAAGTGCTGAAATCTGTCACGGTCTGTGTCACAGAAGGACGGTTCAAAGGGCAGAGGGTCTCCCTCTGGGATCTTCTCAACTCCGAGTACATCACAGACGCCAAGCAGAGAGAGCTGGTGGAACTATACAAAGAGGAGAACATGGCGGCCCTGCAAGAAATCATCACAACTGTTACCACGATCATTGACGTGACCGAGAAGCAAGGCAGGAGATTCACATTCAGGGGCCTGCGGAAGCAGGTGTCTGCCAGTGACCTGTTCCAGGCTCAGCTGATAGACAAGAAAACCCTCGATGAGCTCAATCAGGGACAGAAAACCGTTGAAGAAGTCACAGAGATGGACTCTGTTCGCAGATACCTGGAGGGGGGGAACTTCATAGCCGGCGTGCTAGTACAGCCAGCCAGTGAGAAGATGAGCATCTCCCAGGCGCTGGCCAGAGGGCTGCTGAGGCCGGGCACGGCGCTGGTGCTGCTGGAGGCGCAGGCTGCCACCGGGTTCATCATCGACCCGCTGAAGAACGAGAAGCTGTCTGTGGAGCAAGCGCTGGCAGCCGGGCTCATAGGACGACAGGATTATGAGAAGCTGCTCTCGGCCGAGAGAGCGGTGACCGGATACACTGACCCCTACACAGGACACAAGATCTCCCTCTTCCAGGCCATAAAGAAAGACCTGATCGTCAGAGACCACGGCATCCGCCTGCTGGAGGCCCAGATCGCCACCGGCGGCATCATCGACCCCGTGCACAGCCACCGCCTGCCGGTGGAGGTGGCCTACAAGCGGGGCTACTTCGACCAGGAGATGAGCCAGATCCTCTCCGACCCCAGCGACGACACCAAGGGCTTCTTCGACCCCAACACGCAGGAGAACCTGACCTACATGCAGCTCCTGGAGAGGTGTGTCCCCGACCCCGACACGGGGCTGTACATGCTCCAAGTAGTGAAGCCTGGGGGGACATACTTCTATATAGATGAGTCAATGAAAGAATTTTTTAACTCAAAACCCATCGAAATGCAAGTTGGGAAATTCAGAGGCCAAACTGTGTCCCTGTGGGACCTGCTCTGCTCTCAGTACGTCTCCTCACAGAGAAGAACGGAGCTAGCGCAGCAATACAAATGTAACACCCTGACACTAGACCAGCTCACCACAGCCGTCATCACGATGATCGAGGAAACAGAAGAGAGAGGCCGAGCCCTGCGGGTGAAGGGCCTCAGAGGAGACGTGCCAGTGTCAGACTTGGTCAGCGCGGAGATCATTGACCAAGCCACACTGGACAAACTGCACCACGGAACGCTCCCCATCCACAACCTCCACCACATGGACTCTGTCAAGCGGTACCTGCAGGGAACGGGGAGCATTGCTGGGGTGCTGCTGCCAGCCACGCAAGAGAGGATGAGCATCTGCCAGGCCATGGAGAGAGGTCTCCTGACCCTAGAATCAGCGCTGTTGCTGCTGGAGGCGCAGGCTGCCACCGGGTTCATCATTGACCCGCTCAAGAACAAGAAGATGTCCGTGGAGGAAGCCGTCTCCGCTGGCCTGGTGGGCAGGGAGATTCGGGAGAAGCTGCTCTCGGCCGAGAGAGCGGTGACGGGATACAGAGACCCCTCCACAGGAAACAAGATCTCCCTCTTCCAGGCCATGAAGAAAGACGTAGTTGAGAAGGAGCAAGCCATCCACTTGCTGGAGGCCCAATTTGCCACCGGCGGCATCATTGACCCTGTGCACAGCCACCGCCTGCCCATGGAGGTGGCCTACAAGCGGGGCTGTTTGGATGATGACACATATCTCCTGATTTCTGATCCAGAACATGGCAGCAAGGGATTTATGGATCCGAACACCCATGAAAACCTCAGTTATGCTCAGCTCATCCAGCGATGTAGTAAAGACCGAGATACGGGACTGCACCTACTCCAGATAGTAGAAAAGAAGGAAGACTATTTCTACATTGATGAGCAAACCAAAAATATTATGGTATCTACCATGGTTAAAGTGCCAGTAGGAAAATACAGAGGACAGACACTATCTCTATGGGCACTCCTCTGTTCTGAATACGTCACTGAGGAAAAGAGAAAGGAATTGGTTCAAGAATACAAACAACAATCCACAGTTATATTACGGAAGATAACAGATGCACTTTTCAACATTATACATGAAATAGAGAGGGGCAGAAAAGAAATATGGTTCCAAGGCATTAGACAAAAAATCACTGCATCAGAACTACTCAGTGCACAGATAATTACTGAGGACACTATGCAGAAATTACAGGAAGGAAAAAAGACTGCTCATGACATAGCAAAGATGGATTCCGTAAAGAGATACCTCG